AAATTCAGTCTCTTCCCAGTGCTCCTGGCAGTTGCTGCAGGGGCTGAACTGGTGGGAGGGAGGGGAAAGGAAAGGGAGGATGGCATAGGACAGAAAGGCACTGCACTAATTGCTGAGCAGGCAGGAGCACACCCAGATTCTGTGCAGCATTCCACCCAGCCCAGTTGCCTCTGCTTGAGGTTTCTCTTTTAAGTTTCTTTTGGACTTTGCTTGCCTAAGCCATTGCAATGTGTTTCTGAGGTACCTGAGTTTTAGGTGGCACTACACTGAGTAATGCAGAAAGGGAGCAGGTGAGCTCTCAAATCATGTTACGTCAAAAGCACTATGAGTGTATGTGGATCCTAGGCATGGATGCAAGGAGTCTGTTCAAATGGAAAGAGTACAATAGGATTTGCAGTTCAGAGACTCTCCCCTGCATTCCTCAGACACTCTTTACCCACAGTGCTGATACACATATTCCCAACATTGGTAACACATGCTTCAAATCTGAAATGAGTTATGAAACAGTCCCTCCCAACATGAATGTGCCATTCATGAAGGATGTATGCTGAGGCCAGGAGAGCACCAAACATGGTGGTTCCAGGTAATAGTGGTTGCAGGTGGTTGCAGGTTGCATAATTGCAGGTCTGGGTGTAAAATTACTGACAAAGGTGTAAAACTGCTGCATTTTGTCTTCTGAGCTACATAGCCTCATTAGGAAGGTGGAACATTTGTGAGTCTTTCATGCAGAAAGACTCCTGGAATGTTTAAGTTAGATGACTTTTAGCATGGTGAGGCAGGCTGTAAAGGTTCAGACAATTATCTTGATGATATGACGGCCTCTTCCATTTCAGCTGGAGTCCAAGGCTCATCTTCCCTCTGAGGCATTTGTTGAAATTCTGTGCACGATTTGTTCCTCTGGTTGTTTAACAATGTCTCTCATGTTTGCCCTGATTTTAAAAAATCCTCCTTTGTAGCAGAGATAACATAGAGCAGGATGATATAATTGCAGTAAAGAGGCCCTGGAGCTTGCAGTAATAGGATGGTTCAGCTGATGTATACTGCCATTAGAAAATAACCCACGTATGTGTGTTCTCAGGGGACTGTAAAGAGGCTTTTAAGGATTACTCTTCATGTAGTATGAAAGCTAATGAGCAAAAGAGCAAGTGAAAAGAAAACTATTTCTGCATAAGCATGTTGCCACTTCCTGTTCTCACTTTTCTTACACTTGTGTAGCTCCAAAATATCCACCTCTGCCCAGTAATGCTTGGTTTCTCATGCACTGCAGTCAGTTTCCAAGACTTTTGAGAATACAGTATTATTTCCATGTCGCTGAAAAGTAAATAGCACATGAAAAGCATGGTGTAGTTTAAAACTGTGCTGTGTGTGTACAAATCAAGTAATTTTGGTGCAATGGCACTCTCTGATAGTCTGTGCCTGAGGAAAAAAAAAAAAAAAAGGATATAGTTTCACAAACAGTGCTAAAAGGTTGATGTTAGTGTCAATTCTCCCACCTCCATTCTTTTTCCTGGCCAGAGTGCAGAAACATACAAAGATATCCACATCCAGTAAACACTGGAGGACCTGTTTCAAATATTCCATGGAGAATTTGGGCTGCAGTGATAAGAAATTCAGAACAGCTGGTTTCTGGTATTAACAACTTCTTGTTCAAATGGATTGCCACTTACACTGCCAATTGTTCTACTTTCATTTGTGTTGAAACAGAAGCCATATAGCAGAACAGATACTGGCTTTTTTGTTTTGTCACAGCATTTTTTCTTGCTTATAATGCTTGTTGTAAATAAAAAAATTTAATCACTTTTTAATATTCTCTACCTCCTCTGTAATGTTGGAATATACTTTTGTACTTTTGTATCTTGTCATGTTTTTAAGTTCAATGGAATGGACAAACCTACATCTTTCTTCATGTATTTAACATAGTAAAGGATCAGGCTTTGCTATAAGGTAAAATTTAGTGGATTTATTGAGGTAGATCTTGAAGAAGATGCTGGGTTTTGACTAAATGCTGTACTGGGTTCTACAGCACGGTCTGGCATCCATAGCTTCATTTAATTGCAAACAGTACTGATCATTAAAAAAAAAAAGTCCATGAATATTAAGTAAGGAAAGATGACAGCCAGCATCTTTGCAAACATACACACAGGCCAGTAAACTTCTTAAACATCCCCATTTCTAGTCACAAGTCAGGGCATTAAATATTCAAGAGTGCCTCCTTCTGGACAAAGAAGGGACTTATTTTCTCGTAAATTCTAAGAGGATTCAGGACACAGCCTTTGTTCCCATCTAATCAAATTGGAAGCATGTTCGAGTGCATGTGAAGTATTTGTATTGAGGCTTTTCTATGTGGTCAGAGAATTGCAAAAGGCTGACACAAGGAGTAGGGTAAAGGTCTTATTCTCACTTTCAGGGATGTAACTGATGTACTCGGCAGGTTGGGGCAGGGGTGAGGAGTGCACATGTCCTATGGTCAGGAGAAATCGCTAAAGTCCTTGAAGAGTGTTGGCATAAGATTGTTAAAATAATAATGCACACTCCAGTGAAAGTCAGCTCTTCAGCCTGTCTCCTTTTCATATTTTTGCACCTAAAACCTGGAATGGTTATGTCATGTACTAAGCAGTGCTTCCCAGTACAGAGGAGATTTTCAGGTCTGGATGTTTATGTATGCATGTGTGTCATTTGAACTGGATGGTCTTTAAGGTCCCTTCCAACAAAACCCATTCTATGACTCTATGTTTTTGTAATATCCCCAGGAGATCAAGCCTATACATTCATCATACAGGTAGCTACTTTGGCTTTTCCCTGATTTTTTGTTTCAGTTTAATAGTCATGTCTGCACTGGGTCATAAATCTGTCACATTTGGAGAATATGGAACACAAAGTTGATGGTGAAGAGGTGAAGAGAGAGCTGTATATTTAAACAACCAGTAGGGCAGTTGCAGTAGTCTCAGAAAAGTAGTGTTAATGCCATCATATCTACTAGAGATAACAGAAGGGCTGCTTTCTACTTGGCCCCAGTGGTGTCTGTCTCCCTGCAGAGCACCAGTCTGCCACTCTGTGCTGGTGCATTACAATCCAGTTCTCTTAGCCCAAATCCAGTGTTGGATTACATTCCACAAAAGTGTCATTTGATCCCTGGCTCACTATCCATCTATGGTTCTTTACACTTCTGGGATTTAACTTTAACAACTGGAGGTGAGAGATGAATTTCGTGTTTCTGTTTCTGCTGTCAGGTGACACCCCTCTACTTAAACTTCTAGTCCTGCAAATACCAGAAGAGTAATGCTAAATTTTTTATTTCTATCCTTTATCCCCTCCCCCCCATAATTGTTGTACTGGAGCAGAAGAGAACTTGCAATTTTATTATTGCTGTATAAGCCTTCTGTAAACTCAGTTACAGCAGTTCTGATGTTGGTAATTTTTATGACTAAAAAATATGCTGACACAGTGTTTGGGCATAGGAAAAGAGCAAATCTGAATGTATAATAATCTGGTGAGTTTGGGCGATGTTTAATGCTATATCCCAGCCAAGTTAATCACTCATGGAATTTTTTTTTTAAATTTTGGTCACTTGACTGGAGACATTAATCTCTGGAATAGCATCTTTAATGGAAAATACTTGACCAGAAATCTTAACATTTCACTGAAGAACAGATTTAGAAGGAAAGCTACCAACTGACAATAGACCAGCAGAAACAGACATTTGTTACTTTATTTCTCTTACATAATGAAGAAATATCCAGGTTGTTTTCACTTTGTGAAGTATATTGAACCAGGTACTGTATTCATTAATATAAATTGAGTAGATGTGACACAATTTTTTTCATAGAAAGATGACACAGAGTTGCTCCTTCTGGTAGTTCTTTGTCTGAAATATGCTTATTGTAAAAACATCACTACAGAGTTAATAGTGCCCTGCATAACTGCATGTTAAAAATATGACTGCTAAAGAACACCAAATGTGTTAAGGAGAAATTATGCATAGATTTATAATACCTATGTCTGGCCACATTTTTCGAGGGCAGTATCTTCCTTCATATTCCTTTCCTTTCCTGCTTTTTCTGTGAAGTTCTTAATTGCTAAATATCACCATCACCCAACCAGCCCAGTTCCATCTGTCTAGGCTCATTCCAGGCAAAACCGCATTGCTGCTGCACAAATTTTTTATTTGTGCTTGCCTTCCCATCCACACTGCTGCCTCATTAGCGGCTTGGCTCTCTAGATCATACAGTATTTGCCTGTTTCTCCATTAGTCCTAGAGGAGCCATCCCAGCAGAAAATCTGCAGTACTGTGATGACTTTGAACACAGAGTTAGTCACAGGTTAAAACAGAAGCATCAGCTTCTCATCCTTGTTGAGTGTTCCTACCAAGCAATAGGGAGAATAGTCCCTAATTTATTATTTTCCTGCTTTGACACACATGAAAACAGTACAGTAGATTATTACCCTTAATATGCTCTAATTTCATAAAAAACCTTGCAAGTGAGAGCCAGTGTGTATACAGGTGTTCTTCTTGATTAAATAAAGGCTTCTCTGTTTATATTGAGCTAGGGAGCTGCATTACAAGGAAGGTAAGAGGGTAAGGTAAGAAATGCAACCTGAAAGAAATTGTCAGGTTAGACTGTGAAAGCCAAATGCAGGTGTGCTTGAAGTTGTTGGGAGTTTTGCCTCTGAGGAAATAGCCAAAAGACAGTAGCACCCTGTGTCTCTTCAGGGCTTTACAGCCCTGTGCTGCAGTCAGATGGTCTTCCAGGTGGTCTCTGCCACAGTGTCAAAATCATAATGAAAGTGTGCTGCCCACTCAGGTCAGGCTGCTAGGGGTGCCAGCTCATGGCACTTGTTTATTGCACTTCAGTTTTTGTTTCCAGTAACATTTCTGCAGGAACGAGTAATTTTTTAACTAACGCAGATATAAGTGATGGGATCATTTGCTGGACCTTGGAAATGTTGTAATTTTGCCCCTACAAGCAGCGGGGTATTTGAAGATGTCTTTCCTCTTCCAGGTTACCAGCCTGTCCTGCCGAACCAGCAGCAGGGGTTCCAGGGTCTCATGGGAATGCAGCAGCCGCCCCAAAGCCAGAACCTGATGAATAATCAACAGGGTAATCAGGTGCAAGGCATGATGGTGCAGTATCCAGCCATGTCGTCTTATCAGGTATTTAGGAGCTGTAAGGAAAGACTTTTTTCTTGGAGAACGCTTAATTGAATTAAGTTTTTGCATCACACAGTGCCCTTATAACTTCATTTGGGTAGTGTGTGGCAGGAAGCCTTCTGATGAATATGCTTCTAAGTCAGTTTCTTTGCTTCCTGTTTACTTGGTTTTAGTACTCCTGATATTTGTTCTGATTTCAGAATGCTTCAAATGAACTATTTATTACAGCCTGCAGTGAGGGTAATGTCACAAAGAACGAAGGGATTAGACTTCTTCCTGTGAAGAAAATTAATTTTAAAAAATATAAGAACATTGTTCATTTCTTCTCTTTTTTGCCAGTGCAGTACTGTTTCCTGTAATGAAGTTGAGGGCTTTGCCTGATCCAGTTAAAAATTACTCATCTGTGGAGACTCCTGCCAAGGATCTCACCATGTCTTCTATAACAAGCTGTAGCCAGATGGATTATTGTTTATTGGGTTCTGGGGAGAGGGAAGGCAGTGGCTTGATTTTTACCAAGTCCGTAAGTTACCCAGACTTATTTCCCAACCTTTATACCCAGTTTCCATGAGTTATGCCAAGCGCATGTGAGAGGTGGCCTGCGCTTACACCTCCTGCTGGTCCCTCTGGAAAGTTAAGAAACTAAATGACATCTAATTCATTTTAATAGATGGCACTGAATGAGCAGCCATCCCCCTTTTCCCTCAGCTTCTTTGAAAACATTTCAGCGACACGGATGGAAATGGGGGAATTGCTTATGGGTAAAATATTCCCCTTACATCTTCAGAATTACTATATTGAAAACATGTTTAAAAGGTTAATGATCAAGTTAAAGGTTAAGACCTTTTAGATGGCCTAGATATACCAAGCACTGATCCCAGTAATGCATATTCTACTAGATCATGACAGAGACACTTTCTAGGCCTAAAAGCAGAGGCAATTCTCTTCAAGACCTTCTGTAACAAAAAAAATCCTCAGAGATGAGAACAATTCTGTGCAGCAGAAAATAGCACATTTTGGCAGAACATACAGTATACTCAAATTCAGCTGGAAAGAATATAGGGATACTGGGAGCCTACTTTAACTTGCTTAGTAATTGCTATCTTTTTTTCCCTACGTCTTTCCGTCTTCCTACCTAGGTGCCAATGACCCAAGGTTCTCAAGGATTGCCACAACAATCATATCAACAACCAATCATGCTACCTAATCAATCAGGTCAAGGAACACTTACAGCCACTGGAATGCCTGTCTACTGTAATGTCATACCTCCTGCCCCACAGAACAACCTCCGGCTGATTGCCCCACACTGCCCCTCCAATAACGTTCCAGTTATTTCTGCCAGCTGCAGGACAAACTGTGCAAGCATCAACAATGCAGGGTGGCAGGTCAAGTACTGACACTGTGGCTTAGATTTATGAGGATAGAGGTGCATTATTTGACAAATCATGGCCTTCAAATGAAGAGGAACACAACAGAATAATCAATTGAGGACATGAGTACTGACAATGCTCAAGTGATTTGCTGCTGGAAAAACCTGTAAAAAAAAAAAAAGTAAAATAAATTTTGAAAAAAAAAATGTTTGCTGGTTAATGGTGCATATTTTTGTCATGTCTGCTAGGTATGCCTTTATAGCTTAGCTAGTGACATGAATTCATTGAGGTAAGATTTTTTCCTACCACTGAACACCACTGTGTAGATTGTAATATCCCCAATTCGGATTAGTTTTGTACTTTGTGTTGAGTTTGTGAAGCTAAAAGTATTTAAAAATATAATAAAATCACATTGTACCAAAGCTGTAATGGAAATGAAAAAAAAAATTGAAAACAAAAAGAGAATTACTGAATGGAAGGAATAATTTATATACACTATAGAGTTTTTTTATGGATATATACTGTATTGTAGTGCTTAATCACAATAAAGCTATTTGACCTCATGAAGGAAGGTCATGTTTCTACCACCTGCTTGGTCTCCTCTGTTTCTGAGTGAATTTCCTTTAGTTTCTGCATTGTCTTTTTCTAGGTGAAGCTAATGGGGGGATGGTGCTTCATGGGCTTAGAGGAGTTTGATGAGAAGGCAACACAGCTGTGTCTCAGCATGAGGTACCATAACAGCTTGGAATTGTAGCATAGAGACTCAGGAAGTATTCGGTGAATGTGGTACCAGTTCACCTTTAACTGAGTTTGCACTTTGCCAATCCCTAGGGCAGGAATGTCATAAACACAATTCATCATTGAGGCTGCAAGCCTCTTCTAAGTCACACCTCTTCAGGAGACCATACAACAGTCATACATGAGGAGACATAGTTGTCCCATGATATTCCATCCACTGGATGGAAGATCAGTTAATACTGATGTAGCAGCCACAGTACCCAGCAATCCTGCTACACAGAGAGCAATTATTGGTGCTCCAGCTGTAAGGCCATTCTGACAAAGGAAGATGACCCAAGAATCAGATCTGTCATTTTCGAGTAAGTGGGGATGAACAATATACATGGAAGCTTGGCTTTTGAAATGCAGTGGTTTGCCAAAGTTTTAGAACTTTTTTCTGTTCCTGGGGTGGTTTTTTATTATTATGTCCATCTTCACTCAAATTCCCAGCTTGTTCTGATAAATTGTTCTTGATTCATAAATCCTGCATGTAGTTCCTCATTTTGCTTCAGTGATGACAACATTTGAGACAAAAGTTGAGTAATTTTTCACTTAAACTTCATTTTAGATCAGTTTTGAGCACCTTTGCAATAGCTAATGTTGCGCACTGCAGAATTATGCACACACATAATGAAAAAAAACAAAGATCCTTCTGTGTGAAAATCTATGTATGACATAATATGATTTAGGTATTCAAGATTACAGCAGCCTACATAACCCTTGACAAAGTTAATCTGAATGTGAAACAGTTTTAATTTTACTTTTAGCATATGTGGCCTTTCCTTTGGTTTCCACTTCAGCTGTGGAAACAAGACCTGGAGGGGCTTCAAATCTGTATTTGAAGGAAACATTTTTCTTTTCTATACAATGAAAAGATATCTTTCAGAGTTCAGTTCTTTTTTTTACATATGTGTCTAAAAGTGTGGAATCCAGTCCTGTGGGATCACAAGAAAGCCAAACACTGAATTTTATGTAGTGTAATCACGATTCATTTGCTGAGAGACAGTCAAGAGCATGAGCAGTTAAGTAAACACAATTCACTCTTCAATTAGAGGTGAAATGCCTTGGGAGAGACTGCTGATTGATTTTTTTTCTTTTTTTTTAAATCAAGATACTTCATTTGAATTTTGCCTGTGACCCTGAGCTCTCATTTTAGATTCTCTGCATTGGATGCTTTATTTCCTTTAAGAGTTTCATATACAACAGAGGTTTCTGTCCTAGCATGGATGTAATTACATAATTGATGCTGTGTTTGCTGCTGTGGCATCACTGACAGCTGAACAAATGGGTGTCCTTCTCTATCAAGGCTCCACGGTCCAGCAGGAAGGACCTTGTCCTGCAGGTGACCTTGTGCAGGACAGGTTATGTGTGCCCAGGCTGAAGGAGAGGGGAGGGAGGGGCAATCTCTATGCACCCACAGTCTGGAATGAAGAGACCCTTTGGTCATCACTATATTTAAGTCCCATCTCCTCTGAAGCACTACAGTTACCTTATAAATCTTCCCTCGTGTCAGGGAACAATTAATGAATTGCCTGGTAAAAAAAAAATCTGCCTCAGCATCGCAGATTGATGGCAAGCTGGGCTGTAGATGCTCTCAGTAGGGATGGGGAAGGGACTCAAAAAGGAAAGCCTAGGAATCTTGCTTCTGTATACAGGATTTCCTTGTGTCCTTAGGCTGCTCTAGGTCATGTCCCCTTGGCAAGCAGCATATCCCATGCCTGACCATGGCTGTGCTTTCCCACGTTACCTGTCTGCTAGCACAATGACCACCTGGTAGAAAACACCTACTTAGCTGTGGGAGCAGGGATCCCACTGACTGACTTCTCTCAGCCTTGTGGCAGCAGCAGCTCCCTGCATGTTATAGTGCTCCCTGCATGTTGTAGTGCTAGTGCCTTCCTGCTAATATGAGACTTGAACGTTTTTTATGAAATTTAGCAGTTTCAGTAGACGGCCACAGCCACCCACCCCAAAATAGCCTACATCCTCTGATTGTCTCACTCTCCAAAGAGTTTGAATCTCCTTAGGCATATGAGGAAACTGAATCTGTTCTCCCTCTGCTATGGAGAATGCCCTAATTATTACAGTATTATGTACATGGAGGAGCCATCTCAATTGTTGGTGCATTGTATTTGCTTTATGCTGAAAGAATTTTTATTTAAAACAATTAAGTAATATTTAAGTAATTTCAAGTGAAGCAAAAAAAATTCTCTGATTTTTAATCATACTATATTTTAAAGTCTTTATCCAATTTTTGTGTTTATTAGTAAAAATATTCTGAGCTGGATTGCTTAGCACCTTTCTGCTATTAAAAAGAGATGTTTCAGCATTATCAGAAGGGGAGGGAATGAATAGGAAAAAAGAAGTGATGTAAATACATATAACAAAAATGCATAGGTGGAGCTCAGTGCTTTTTACCTCAGTCCTTTGAAATATTTGTAGGTAATCTCTGTAAAAGGAGTGTTGTTGGAATCACATGGCCAGACTTAGCAACTCAGGAACTGGTCACCATGAGTTCAGAGTCCAGCTTACAGTAGTGAAATTGTTTACAGGACATTTGCCTCTCCTGTGGGGATGCTCTGTCTCTGTGGCCTTGGTTTTTTCAGTCTTCCCTTGGAATTTGGCAGATTCAGGCAGCTGCTCTGTGGCAGCCCTGTTGTAGTGCTAGGGACTGTTTGTTGCATTTTTCCTTTGCCTACTGCATACTCACCTTGTTAATTGTATATTGCTTTCTCCTCCTTTTTTATATTCTATAGCTGATGGAAAGCTCTGCCTAGGCCCCATACATATTTAATTTGCCACTCTTTTTTCCTTATTTGTATTGCACTGAGAAACCAAAGAGGCATATCCTGAATTAAGCTGACTCTGTTAGATGACACTGATCAGCATTTTGGATGGCTCTTATTCATTTGGGCTGTAATTTGCAGAGGCTGTACATCCTGACAGAAACCAGATGCCATTTGCTATTGTTTTGCCCTTTGTGCTGCCCAAGAAATCAATTATTTCCTTCTAAAACTGTATTCCCTTATGTTTCTGTTTAACTCTGGGTGGAAAGCTTCCTGTACTGAAGGAAGACTGCACAAATTATCCCAGCAGCAAGGAATGGGAATGTGCAGAGGGGATGTAGAGCTCCTCTTGACTGGTAAAGGAGAAGGAGAGCAGTCCTTAGTCTTCAAAAGTGTCCCATTCATGCTTAGCCCAGAGACCGTGCTTCAGAAATGCTCCCAGATTCAACACCTGCTTAGCTCATGTTGCCTGAAACCACATTTCTGGTGTAGGGCATCACCATCCTTTTGGGCAGTGGCCAGTTTTGGAAAAACAATGAGAGAAGCTCAGACTGGTGCTTCAACAGCAATCCTACGTGCTTCAAGGAGGTTGTAACAAGGTGGGGGTCAATCTCTTTTAAAAGGTAACAATCTATAGGACAAGAGGAAATGGCCTCAAACTGCACCAAAGTTAGAGTGGATATTAGGAAAAATTTCTTCAGTGAATGGGTGGTCAGACGTTAAAATTGGCTGCCCAGAGAACTGGGAGAAACATCATCCCTGAAAGTATTCAAAAGGCATATGGATGTGGCACTTAGGAATAGGGTTTAGTGGTGAATATGGTGCTGCTAGATTAATGGTTGGACTCAAAGGTCTTTTCCAACCTTGATGATCCTATGATTCATATGTCTATAGCAGGATATAGAAATGCCTTGAGCATTTTGGAGGAGAAAAGGTCTCAATGAATGCATGTTGCCTGCATCTAACACAGTATGGGGTGATGCAGCAGTTTGGAGTGTGCCTGCTCCCAAATCAGGGCAAAAGAAGACCATTTCCAGCTGGATTTCTGCCCCTGGTTTGCTTTAAAAATTTACTGTCTTCCCTGCTGGTTCCTTTAATTCTTATGAAAAGTGCTTGTAATGACCCTTTGGGGCCATGGATTGATGGTTGAATATTTAATGCTATGGAGTGTTTCTGAGGACAATTGGCCCTGCATTCATAGAAGGATGTGAACTATTGATGTATACTCCTGTATGTTTTGCAGACCCTGGCTTACACACTCCTGAAAATATACCATTCCAGTGCACATCAGAAGGGAGAATCAACCCCCAGGCTTCTGGCTCTTTTTACAATATCTCACCAGCTGTGGAAGGGGATGACTCCTCATTATCTCTCCTGGTATAAGGACTAGAGGACATAAAAGAAATTTTGCCTATTAAACCAGCATTCTCCAAATAAAGGAAACATGAGAAGAGTTCTTTTATTCCCCACAGAGTATTTAGGCAACCTGTGGCATTCCTTGCATCAGGATGCTAGGGGCCATTTCAGAGATGGGTGGATATGGTCAGTAAAGAAAGTCGTACAGAATGAAAGCTGTTAAATACAGCCAGCCAGTGTTTAATCCACAGAGGCAGAAAACAACCTGGAGAAATGTCACCATATTGTTGCCCCATCTATAAGTCCTTTCTCCAGACACTGTCAGAGATGAGTATTGGACTGGGAATGAAGTTTTGATCTGATGGAATGTGCAGTTCCATGAAGCAGTATTTATATCTAATAATTAATAATAATAATAATATAACAAAAATAGTTGGTATCACTTATCAGAGTCCATCCTGTAACAAAACTAAGGAACAGAAGGAGGGGGTGAGGCTAATCTTGGGTTAATTTTCTTCAGTTTGTTTAATGTCATAAGGCCCTGACTGCATGAGTGACTATGACTGGCCTTACACAGTTGCTTGTTTTGCTATTCAGAGCAGGAGGTGTTACTACACTGACAATGAAATAAAGCTTACACGGGAAGTGCCTCATGTTTTTTTTCCTCG